GTGGGATCGTGGGATCATTCATGGGATCATGGAAGGGTGGGTGAGAAAAGGAAAAAGTAAGAGAGAGAAGCGGGAACGTAGGATATATCACATCCATTGTTTTGTAATTTGAATACATCTGAACCATCCAAATGTCTCAGTAGGACAAATGTGTATATGACATTTTCAAAAACCTTCTTAACTTATTATATAGATATATATCATACAAAAATCACGCACCACGTTTGCTTCCAACTGCATAATTTTCTGTTCTCATTTTTTTTTTCCTTTTTCTTTTTTCCATGAAAACAACAATGGTTGTTACAGCCAACTAGGTTGGAAGACCCACTCATCCACACACCTACACACGTAAATTCTTACATACATATCAATGGGAAATGAGATAACCAATTAGGTTTAACTTAATTGGTTACCATAATTTTTTTAGGGGTTTAGTTCTTAGAGAAATGTCATGAGTTTAATTCTCTTTAAGGAAGTTAAATTAAGGGGTCAAGCATTTGGTATTTTACAAATAGGGAGATTAACTCCCATAGGTGCTAATCTTATGAATAACAAATCACTTTCGTCGATAAACAAAAATAAAATAAAATAAAAATAAATAACTAAAAATGAAGAGATAATGAGTATGGGCTAGAAAAAGAGGTGGGGAAGGATAAAACAGGTCAACTATACAGTGATAAAGGCGTAGATGATGAAAGAAAAAAGAAAAAAAAAATGGACAAAAATGTCATTTTATCAATCCATTTCAATTCGTTAGTTTTACACTTTACTTCAAATCATAAGAGGGTTAAGTGTGTATTTCTTAATTATAGAGAGGTAATGTGTTTTTGGTTTAAATTACAGGGAGTTAAAATGTAATTAATCCTATTACATTCTACACATCAATTAATTATTAAGCAAAGTCTATAAGCTATTTTAATGCCATTAAATAAGAGAAATTACAAAACAAAGTTTCATTCCAAAAGCAAGCTATGCAAAATTTGAAATTTTGAAATTTCAGTTTCCACTTCCATTAACTTCATCATTAAACAATACATCTTTCAACTTTGACATATCAGGTAAAGGATTTGCAATTTCAAGTAAATAAAAACTCTCTAATAAATTAAACGTATCTCCACTAATGTCCCATAGCTACGTGTACTCCCGATATACCCATGAAGTACCCATAGAATACCTAACTACCAAAGAACGTATAAAAAGTACCCAGTACGTATTTCGAATACCTAGTGCGCATGCAACCCTATTGGTACAAGTACCAATACCCGGTAAATATCCGGTACGAGTACGGAAATATTTTCAAAGTACCCATGCTTCATAGGTTTTAAGTGACCCTAGAGATTTTTCATTTTGCTAGATGTATTTAATTTTCTTTGTTTATTGATTGAAGTTATAGATAACTTGTCCTTTTTACGCAAAACAAAATAAAAATATTTATAAAAAGAATTTATTAAACATGTCTAATGTTTCATATTTCTAGGGCCTTAAACAACAATCATAATGCAATATGCTAGCATAGTAAAAGTACATAACAGAATATTCATCTAAATACTTGTTTGGGAACAGGTTTTTTTAGTAACTTTTTGGCTTTTTGGCTAAAATATAATGTAAAAAAAACTAGCATGTTTGGGATGACTTTTTGACTTTTTACGAAAAGATGTGCAAAAAGTAGAGAGAAAAGAGAATCTTTGACTTTTTGGTATGGGTTGTTGGCTTTTTAATTTTTTTAGTAACTTTTTAGCTTTTTGACTAAACCGGCCTGTTGCCAAACGAGGCCATAGTTTCTTTATTTGAATGTCATGTTTCACTTGTTAAAGCTTTATTCCAATTCCTAAATACAGTATTGACCTTTGAAGTGTTTAAACATATAATTGATACTTTCAAACAAATGTAATACGAATTTTATGGCTTCGCTGATCTTGAAGTTGTTAGATACTGACCGGTCTTGTCCATTCCCCAGCTTAGTTTTATTAAGTTCATGTAGGCCTACTGAAATTTAAATTAGATAAAGGGTTGCAATATGATGTATTTTTTCCGAACCCAAGGTTTTAAACCTTGATGAAACAGAAAGATGAGCAGAAATGAACTATTTGTTTATTTTGATTTTAATCCACCCCTTTTATCCTTTACTTGGGGTTATTATTATTATTATTATTATTATAAGCACAAATATGAATTCACAACATGACACGAAACACTGGCATCGTAATTTAAAAAAAATAAAGACAGAGACATGTGAGGGACACATAAAATATATACTTTTTATACTATGAGGCCCATATACCTCTTTGTAGGTCATGTACTGGTGTTCGACATGTGTCCAACACGGATGTACGTTGGACACACACAAGATACATGTTAGACACATTGGAGGAAATGTCCTATTTTTAAATTTTATTTTATTTTATTTTATTTTAAGTCGAACACACTAGAGACACATTGAGGATACATTGTGTTTGAACTTATAACCATGGTTTTAAAAATGGGCCGTAACTGTTATGTAATGCCATTACATAATCGTTTGGGTAGTTTTTACCACCCGTTACGGCCGCTATACTAGTGTGATTGAAAATCAAACGGATGTTACAACATTGTTACGACCTTTACCTTTGTCTTTAGTAGATAATACAAGTAATACCATTTTTCTCGTATCCCTTTTTTCAATTGCTAACATCACACAAAAAGCGCATAGAATTGTTGTGAAAATCTTAGATCAACATCCTTTAGTGTCCAATCTTCAATTTCTACTATATTTGAGTTAGATGAGATTCCCTTATTTATTTATTTATTTTAACTTTTATTATTATTTTTTCACTTGACTCCTTGATTCCTTTGGTACTCAACATTGGCTTAAAATAAGCCCACAAATAAGCTAGTTGTTTGGCATATTTTTGGCTGTCCTAATGACCTTTTTAAGTGGCTTAAGTTGGCTTTTTGGCGGGAAATGGCTATGACAAATGACTTGAAGCTTTTTCATGGGCTTATTAGCAGTCTCAAATGGAGCCTGACTTAGATCTATTTGGTTTTAGGTTAGATTTGGTCTCGTTTGGCAAGTGGCTTTTTTAGTCAAAAAGTCAAAAATTCAAAAAGCCAAACAGTTACTAAAAAAGCCAAAAAGCCAACAACTTATACCAAAAAGTCAACAACTTATACCAAAAAGTCAAAGATTTCCTTTTCTCTCTACTTTTTGCGCATCTTTTCGTAAAAAATCAAAAAGTCATCCCAAACATGCTAGTTTTTTTTACATTATATTTTAGCCAAAAAGGCAAAAAGTTACTAAAAAAACCTGTTCCCAAACAAGTATTTAGATGAATATTCTGTTATGTACTTTTACTATGCTAGCATATTGCATTATGATTGTTGTTTAAGGCCCTAGAAATATGAAACATTAGACATGTTTAATAAATTCTTTTTATAAATATTTTTATTTTGTTTTGCGTAAAAAGGACAAGTTATCTATAACTTCAATCAATAAACAAAGAAAATTAAATACATCTAGCAAAATGAAAAATCTCTAGGGTCACTTAAAACCTATGAAGCATGGGTACTTTGAAAATATTTCCGTACTCGTACCGGATATTTACCGGGTATTGGTACTTGTACCAATAGGGTTGCATGCGCACTAGGTATTCGAAATACGTACTGGGTACTTTTTATACGTTCTTTGGTAGTTAGGTATTCTATGGGTACTTCATGGGTATATCGGGAGTACACGTAGCTATGGGACATTAGTGGAGATACGTTTAATTTATTAGAGAGTTTTTATTTACTTGAAATTGCAAATCCTTTACCTGATATGTCAAAGTTGAAAGATGTATTGTTTAATGATGAAGTTGATGGAAGTGGAAACTGAAATTTCAAAATTTCAAATTTTGCATAGCTTGCTTTTGGAATGAAACTTTGTTTTGTAATTTCTCTTATTTAATGGCATTAAAATAGCTTATAGACTTTGCTTTAGTACTTGTATTGTTGAATTATGATTTCTCTTTTGGTTTTATAATTTTCTTTTTTAGTTTTGGTATTGAATTTTGATTTGTAGATTGAATCTCAAACTATAAATTATAAAATATTAAAAATTTATTGACTTACCCAAGCCGTACCCATATTCTATTTTTTTTAGGTCTTGCTGTATCGGTGTACCTGTACCAGTATCTGTACCCACACCCATGCTTCATAAATGATTGTGAAAATTAGTACATATGTTTGCTAGATTGTGTTAAAAAGTTAAACAAAACTAACTAAAAACCTTTTAAAACCATATTAAATGTGATTCTGAATTAAAGTTCTTCCAATATTATGTGAAAAAGAAAAAAATTCACGGCTCGAGTTGCTGCCATCATTACATTATGGTCGTTACACTCTGCAACTGCATCATCACCACCGTTACCGTTATGCAGCTGCCACCGTTATAAAACCTTGCTTATAATACTTAGGAGTTGTTTGGGGTGTCCTAAATAATTGCACTTTTTGTCTTTTTGGACTAAAAAATTGAGGAAAAAAATATGGATGTTTGGGTTAACTTTTTGACTTTTTATGGAAAAATGTGTATTAAAAAATTGTAAAAATTGGTTTGGAGGGGAAAATTAAGATTGGGAGTTGTGCAACCGTAATTGTTGACTTTTGGTGAATAGTGTTAACTTTTTATGAATAGTGTTAACTTTTTAACTTTTTAAGTAACTTTTTGGCTTTTTGGCTTTTTCTTATCTTCCCAAACTTGCCCTTAATTTACATTATTTTTGTTTTAGGGGGAAAAAAAAAAAAAAAAAAAACCAGGGTTTTGAGCCTTGTAACAAAATAAACCTTGAGTTTTTAATTTTGTCAATTTAAACCCTAATCTTATTTGTTTTCAATCTAAACCATCTGCCTATTTTCGTTAGGTAAAACTGATGGAAAAATGGTATTTTTGACATTAAACTCAATAGAAAGGGATACTTTACAGAACCAGTGTGGGACCACCTGTTGTGCTTCATTGTGTGCTACACCATTGAGAACAGGAGGAAAAATGAAGTTAGGCATGCATGCTCCAAACCTGGGCACTTTATGTACTTGGTAATACCACCTAATCCTTATTCTAGCTTTGTCTTGGTGTTGACGTATATAATATATATATGTAACTAGATTTAGGAATGAATAAACCATAGTTCAAAGAACAATGAATAAGATTACCTATTTTAAAAAATTTCTGTGAGTTGTAAATTGTAATTGACAATACATTTATCGTATACGTATTCCATTCTTCTGTCTTTGGTGTGCTAGTTGCAACATTTATTATATAACTCTTATTGTTATTTTGACATTGTTTTTAGTTTTTGTTTTAGTTTTTTCCCTTCTTTTTCCTTTGGCAACTATGGTCTATACAAATGCTGAAACTGATCTTTTGCCTTCTGCTTCTCTTCTGCAGCCATGATTCGCAAGGAAATTGCAGATGAAACTGATAGGGTGACGGGAAAAACGAAACAAATTTCACCTATTCCTATCCATCTTAGTATATACTCTCCAAATGGTAGGTTATTAATTTTAATCCTAGTTGCTGGTAGCCCTGGTGGAACAAATATATATCCACACTTGTTGCAAACTTCTTCGTTTTATTTATTGGCCCTTCAACACATCTTGTGATTATACTTTATTCATTCTTTCTTACTTTTAGCTGCCTCTCTGATAAAATTACTTGGAGTTTCATTGATTACAAGGAGCATAATATTCATTGATTATTATGCAACCTGTGTTGCCATTTTCCCCAGTTTTCTGTAATATACTGTAACACAATTTCGTTGAGAGTTTCTCCAACTTGGCTTCAAGAGCCACTTTGGTTTAGATTTCAGAACTTTGGTTTGGTTGCTTTAAACAACTTTCCTTTTTTATTGCGCGGTGAAAAGGATTACTAGGTTTTCTTGGCAGATGTTCTAAACAAAGATGCAAGGAAGAAACTTGAGTTGGGAAGTCATTACTTTGATGGAATGCCTGCATCTTTTTTAATATATATGTAACATGAGCACTCTGCATGGTATCCGCAAATCAGAACTCTAAGATTCCAAATAGTTGAACAAATGGAGTCCAGGTCATGTTTGGTTTGACAAATACTATGTGGTGTTAAAGATTGAAATAATTCAAGAAGTTACATTTGATATTTTGATTTAAAACTTTGTAAACTCAATGAACCATGTTCACTTGTTTGACCTAACTGGAACAATTTTGAGAGGGAAACTTTAACTGGAAACTCTTTCAAAGGATATCATGCTGACATTGCTTTTTGATTTTTCACTTTGGAGAGGAGTCTTTTGCCATGGCTTTTAGATAATTTTGATCAACATTGGTAGCATGATTTGTTAAGCCTGTTTGTCGTCTTATTCTCCATTTTAGTGCTTGATTAGGGGATTGCAATATCGTGTCCCATCTCACCTCGGGATGCAAGTGATGCCTTTCTTTCCATCTTTCCAATGTGAATGTGTGACCTTACCTTGAACAGACATGGTCTGGACTCCGGTGTTGTTTTGTATAACAAGATATAAGCTTTTTAAAATATTTTGTTTTTCTCTTATGTTGTGGTTTCATTGTACCGTAAGTAAAATGGTCTATCCCTTTCTTGATTTCTTCTACTATATGACAATGCCCTCTCTCATTCTCTCCACATCTATCTACATACACATAACTTCGCTGACACCATTTCATGGGTTTTTTTGTGTGGCAGTTGTCAACTTAACCTTAATTGATTTGCCTGGACTGACAAAAGTCGCTGTTGGTATGTTCTATATAATTTCTCATTTTCTTATATAACTTGGAAGTGATATAACTCGTTCAATAAAGAGGTTTGTTCTTCGCAGAGGGACAACCTGAAAGTATTGTTGAAGACATTGAAAACATGGTGCGATCTTATGTTGAAAAGGTAATGATGAATTGATTATCTTTTCTTATTAAAGTACTAGCGGTTGGCACATGTGATGCACGTGCATGTAAGTAAAAATAAAAATAACATGATAATGAAATTAGTATCACAATATGTGGGTAGTTCAAGTGGGTATAATGTTTCTTCCTTAAGACGAAGCTCTTAGTTTCAAGTCTTAAGTCTTGTTAATGTAGTTTATTTATTTTTAAATAGAGAAATCCACGTGCCACGTGGCATGAGGAGAACCAAAGTACTTAAGACACCAAAAGACTTGTTCACTTTATATAGATAGTATAGATGATTCACTACCTTCAGGATTATTTTAATTAATTGTAATTTCGTTTTTTATTAGGTTATGTGAATGAACCAATCATGATTAAGTTTTAACAAATGAGTACTTACCGAGCTTATAAAATGAGGGGAAATAAAAAGAAACAAAAAGAAAATACTTGAAGAAAAAGGTATTATTTTCCTGACAGTTTTAGTAAAGAACAGATCCTCAAAGGTCTCTTGATTCCTAAGGGAAATAAGACCCCTGGAGCAATTTATGTGTCAGATAGATATGTTCCAAAGCTTCTTAATTTTGTTTATCGTCATACTTTTACTTAGCAAGATGATGATTTGCTTATTACAACTGTTATCGGTACATTAAATTTATGGTCCTCAAGTTAAGCCTCTAGCTTCTCTCCTGGTGTGCAAAGTCTTCCATACAACCCTAACCTGGCTTGTAGCATTTGTATCATGTGGTTTTCTTGTTTGATTTTACCTGTTTTCTTTGCCATGAACAATTGCATGAGTGGTAAATGCATTACCAGCTTCAATTGAGATCCTAGGTTTTGCAGATTATTTTGGCACTAATTGGTGAATATATGGTTTTGCAGCCTAACTCCATCATACTGGCAATATCTCCAGCAAATCAAGACATAGCGACCTCAGATGCTATCAAACTTGCAAGAGAGGTGGATCCCAGTGGTATGTTTTTCTTACTGTTGGTTATAGATAAATTATTTAAAACAATCTGTTCCTTCAAATTTGCTTGGATTTTTTGTTATGGAATTTCCTTTGCAACTTGCTCAGGTGAACGGACATTTGGTGTTTTGACAAAGTTAGATTTGATGGATAAAGGAACTAATGCATTGGATGTAGGTTTCCTCTCTTTCTCTCTGTTTCCATGCATTATTGAGGTTTCTTTTATCTTTATGATGTTCAGTGCTATAATTGATTCAAGTATTTATTAGGTTTTTACAGAAACAGATTCAACTATTTGAGTCCATGATAGTGATGCCATAAGACCTCATTAAATGCTTCTTCAAATTTTCTTTTTATTCTTTTCTCCTGTTCATTTCTTCAATTATCTTTTTCACTATTTGTTATTTTTGTCATACTGAATCAATGATTTTCGTCCTCAAAAAGGTTCTTGAAGGGAGATCTTATCGTCTACAACATCCTTGGGTTGGAATTGTGAATCGATCACAAGCTGATATCAACAAAAATGTTGATATGGTTGTTGCAAGGCGGAAGGAGCAAGAATACTTTGCTACAAGTCCTGACTATGCACACTTAACAAGTAAAATGGGTTCAGTGTATCTTGCAAAACTTCTTTCCAAGGTATACTTCATGTATCCTGTTCGTATTATAAGATCTTTTTGAATAAATATGGTATCATTTTGATGAGTATTTTTAATTTCAGCAATTGGAGTCTGTAATTAGGGCAAGAATACCAAGTATCACGTCGTTGATTAACAAAACCATTGATGAACTTGAATCTGAGATGGACCACCTTGGTAGGCCTATTGGTGTTGATGCAGGGGTGAGTAGTTTTCTCTGTATAATTATTACTGAATGAGACACCGTTACATGTGTTGTCGCTGACTGAAATGTTATTTTCCAGGCTCAACTCTACACTATCTTGGAACTTTGTCGTGCATTTGACAGGGTTTTTAAGGAGCATCTGGATGGAGGGTGAGCACTTTATCTTCTTCTCTCTTATGGATAGTTTATTCTTAAAGCTTCAAACTACCTTTGAGTTGATCTTGTTCTTTGAACTCTATTTGGAAATTTATGTTGTTAGAATCATGAATAGTCTCTGCGTTGGTAATTCTCAATAGCCTTTGTACACTAGACAAAATTTAACCTGAACTCACCAACGATGGCATAAATGGGTTTACTTTCTTCATACATGACACATCTAGATTCTGGATATCTCAAAGCATTTGTATACAAAGCCATCTTCTAAAAGGGATCCCTCAGATGAATGGAGACCATCACCAAAGTTGATTGTACCAGGGCTAACTTTGTTTTATAATGATTTGAAAGTCATCACTAAAGAGAAGGCTGCCTTTTATTGAAATGTTCTCATCAGTATTGAATTTTGTACTTGGCAAAAGGGAAAAAATTGAATTTTATGCTTGAATGCCATGCAAACCACTACTAGCTTTGGTCTGTGTGACATCCATCCATTTGCATTATTAATAAACAATATAATTGTTGTAGGGCTAAATTTAGTGCAACTTTTGTGCCTAGGGATAGTGTTACTAAGCTAAATAATTGATGAAGCCAAATTTAGGAATGAAATGTTTAGAGAGAAAATCCCAAATTTGGATACAATTTACAAAGAGCTAAAGCTCTGAATATTTCAATATCAAAATGCCATAAAATTCTCCAGACCAAAGGACCTTAACTACCTATTTATAAGCTAAACACACAACTAAACACTTGGAACAACTCATATAGAGTTGGCCAACCTAAAACTAAGGGTTGGTTTGGCATAAACTAAATAATACAGAAAGTCAAAAAGTCACTATCTTATTTAAGTCACATCATCTTATTTAAATCATATCACCTCTCTAACACATCACATCAAGCTCAATCCAAACCCAACCCATATAATCCAATAAGTCAAAAAGTGCACTTTTTTAGAACATTCCAAACCAAACCTAAATAACAAGCTTGTATCTTATTACATCAGACTCTCCCCCTAAAGAAAACAACTTGTCCTTCAAGTTAGGGACATCAACAAAATGACACAAAACAATGACATGTGGAGGTGCACTGGACACACAACGACAAAGAAGACTGTGGTTGCAAGTCCTTCTCTTATTACATCATACTCTCCCTCTAAAGAAAACAACTTGTCCTTCAAGTTAGGGACATCAACAAAATGACGCAAAACAATGACATATGGAGGTGCAATGGACACGCAACAACAAAGAAGACTGTGGTTGCAAGTTCTTATTCAAAAGTCAATCACCCTATCAAATGCCGCCTTCTTGAAAATGAGCTCTTGTAAACACATGAACCGAAGACATATTGAGGTGTCAATAGGCCACCCAATGTATCATGCCATTTAAATTTACAAGGATAGGGATGTCCGTAGGCTATTAAATTGCCAGAATATTGTTTGCTCTAAGAAGACTTGAGTTCTAGACTTTTTTCTTAGTGGAAGAATACTCTGAGAAATCTGTGTCTCCTTTATACAACTGAAGACCCTTTCTGTAAGCACTTTTGGAAACTAGTCTAAAACAATACAATAATTTACATAGTGGGCAACCTAAGGGATTGTCTTTGTGGCAAGGCCTTGGGTTTTGGGGGTGTACTCTTTTTAAGGTTTAGGGATCGAAACCTCTTAGGTGCTAACAATTCTTTGGGGCCATCGGACTGGGGAAAAACTCTTGAATTAACCATGGTGCACTTGTGCCTGTGCACCCTTGGGGATTAGTCGGGTTTTGATCCGGACACCCTAGTGTCAAAAAAAAAAAAAAAATTACTCAGTGGTCCAGACTTGACATGCGGACTCCAAACTTATTTTAATAGTATAATAATTAAAAGGTAGAGCTACTGGTGATGTGGTCCCATTTATCCATAGCATTGGCAAGATTTCATTCTCGTTCGTCATCCATAACATCAGCAAGATCATAATCACCATCGTATTCTTCCATCATAACATCTAGATCATTTAGATCTTGTTCCGTCATATAATCTCCCAGAAAATAATATCCTCTTTTTGATAAATATTTTTCATCATCTACCTTCCAAATATTCATATATGGATTCATTTGACAATCTTGAAATAATTATCTCAATAATGAGCTAATTTAAATATTACCTCTGCTAATTCTGTAGTTATTTGTGATATCAAGAAGAATCCTTGTGCCCTTGCTTCAATCGGGTCTTGTTGTGTGTGGTCTAGACCAATCTTTGAACCAATTGCATCAATAGGAGAGTGGATCATGTCTATCCTATATAATTATTAGAAAATGAGCTGCATTAAGACGCCCTTCAATTATTTCTGATTGTGCAGTCCTAAAGGCTATGGGCGCCATAATTGTTCCAGGATTGCCATATAAATCCATATATGAATATTTGAAAATGATAGATTCTGAAAAATATTTATCAACAAGAGGATGTTATTTTATAGGAGAGTATAATGATGAAACAAGATCTAAATGAATCTAGATGCTATGGAAGAATACGGTTGTGATTATGATTTTGCTGATGTCATGGGTAACAAATGAGAATGGAATCTTGCCAATGTCATGGATTGATGGGATCACATCACCAGTAGCTCCACCTTTTAATGTCTCCAATTGTATGAAAGGGACATAGATTTCTCAGAGTATGATTTAGCTAAGAAAGAAGTCTTGACCTTAAGCCTTCTAAAAAGCAAACAATATTATGGCAATCTAACAATCTACAGACACCCTTAACCTTGTAAATTTTTTATCAAGTAATATAAATATTCTCTTCCAAGGTATGTAGTCTATGATTGCTTCTGCATTAAGAGTTGTTATTAGGTCACCTAGATAACCAAATATAATAGTTTCTAAGGCTACGATATGAGGTAGGAAACGAAGCAAATCTGTGCTGAGTCTGGTTTCTAACATTGCTTTTGGATTGAGGGGTTTGGTGAGAAAAGAAAAGAAATGGAGAGAATGAGGTTTATTGTCACTTGTTTGGATGATTAATAAGGTGAGTAATGGTGAGAAAGCCAAGTCACACCAAACTTAAGTTTTGTTTCTCACCAAATGTGGTGAGAAAACAAAATTACTCTTTTAATCATAATCCATCCAAACAAGAAGGTGAGAAACCAGAATCATTTCTTTTCTTTTCTCACCTAGGTGAGAGACTCTAATCTTTTCTATTCTTTTTTCATCTCAATCCAAACGAAGTGTAAGGAAGAAAAGGTTAAGGTTAGCCATCTCTATAGACTGAAAGTTTGGTAACGCCAGGATCCTATGCCAATTATGTTCATGTAATGGTCAAAACTTTTAGATATTGTTCTTATTTTGGAAGTATAGTAGAACTAAAATCAAAGAACTCAAAAATATAGAAGTAATAGTAAACAGTTTATTTTGTAAAATTGTATTGATTATTTGTCAATATTTTTGTGTCCAACATTTGTCATTAGATCGTAACCAGTTACGATCACAACCAGTTACGATCACATATTGTTAATTGTCAACGTCATCGTAATTGTTTGCAATATTTATTAGATACTGGTGTAGACGTCCCCGAATGTCCCGGGAGGGAATCCCGTTTTGTTCATATGGGCTCACTACAGTTCAGGACTCAAATGTCACGGTCCTGTATCTAATCTCGCAGAGTACAATGCAAGACCGATGAATCATCAAAGAGTCCAAATCCGGCAAATTGTTTTTGAAAACAGATTTTTTTGAAAGAAGTGCCAAACATGGACTGCTTCGCTAGATACAGCGTCGCCACCTAAAGATTTTATTTTGGGGAATTTAGGAAACTCTGACTCGTTTGCCTAAGGCCACGTGTCCGTCATCACCAAAGTTGCTTCGGCTCGAGAACTTGGGTACGATTGGGGAAGGTCACTTTATGAGCACCCCCGCTCGCCCGATCAAAGATCGGCCTCTACTAACTATGATATCGAGTTTTGAAAACATTATGTGCTTGTATTCCGGTTATTAGCCTAGATTTACTACGTGATGCACACAGCATACAAGTATAGATTGGATCGCCTGAATTGGAACAAAACACCTTATGTTTTCTTTTGAAACGGTTTGCTACTCGCAAGTAGGCTAAAATGCGAATTTGCTACCCTCGGGTGGGCTTAGAAAACAAGATGATTTGCCATTCTCAAATGGGCTTAAAACTCACAGTCAATGCATTATTCCAATTCAGATAATCCAACCTTCACCCACAGGCATTCAGGCAGGTATATCACATAAGCAGTTAGCCTCATGGTAAACATGCTATCATGGCAATCACTCACACGCATGCAAGGATGCTAAAGCATAAACACTTACCGAGTACTTTGAGCCAAAACAGAAACTAGTTAGTAATCAATGCACGATCCTATTTCATGTTAAGATGGCTAATGCAATACATGCAAAATGCAACTAGAAATAGGCTCGGCTATCTTAAGAATGGCATATGAGATGCTACAGCTAACACGTGTTCAACTTGGAATTGGAATACAATGCAGTTAGTATGATGAGCCGAGCCCGGTGCATGCAATACAGATGAATGATGCAAACATGCAAGCATAAGTATGCTAATTGAAACATGTCGTAATCTAACCATCATAAGCTAGTAAATAAAAGGGAGAAAGACGTGGGGTTGGAAGACATACATCACACACACGCACACTTATTACAATTGTGCCCTTGCTCGGAGGGTCCGAATAAATAATACAGCCCGAATAAATAATTAACTGCTCTAGCTAATTAAATATTACAAAACCCTAATTAATTAACAAATTAACTAGGAAAGCAAATAAATTAGCATGCAAGCTAAATGGACCGCCTCAGCTCTGTTTTGAATGATGAAAGATGCATGCACGCTCGAGCCGCCTCGTCGGGAAATTTCTCGCGATGCCCCGATTTGCCTCTGTTTGCAATTGATCCCGGAATGCTGTACAAAACTCTAGAAGGTTGTTGACCAGTTTTTGCTGTCGGTTTCCGGTTTGCTACAACAGAGAGCAAAAAAGGGGCATG